GGCTAAAATAAGGAAGACCACAGCAAAATATAGGCTATATGGATAGGTCCTAAAAGAATGGACAAATTACTTAATTTCATTAAGTATATGAGCAAAAAACAACATGTTTAATGAGGGAAAGTCAAAGCTTAGAACGAATGAATTCAGTGGAAACAGAAATGAATATACCTAATATAATAGTATGCAGACTCGAACCAAACTCACTGCCATCTACTTGGCTCTAACTCGTAAGAGCAGGGTAGAACTGACTGTGGATTTCTGCGACCATGGCTCTTTGAGGGTAGAAAGTCTTGTCTTTTTTCCACGAAGTTAGCTAGTGGTTTTGAACTGCTGACCTTATGGTTAGCAGCCCAATGAATAACTACTACCCAATTATATAAGGTATGTCAATATTTTGAAAATTTGATCAAGTTTGTAATACGAAAAAAATGAACATAAATATAGCTTAAGGTACAGCACACACATTTTTTGATTTCTGAAGGTTTCTGGCTATAAATAATTCATTCCACTTTGTTTCCTCTCATATTACCATCTTCTTTGTTTTATAACATTCAGAGTCACAAAGTCTTAGAAAAAGAAATCATTTTCATTTCCTCCCCTCTAACTAACTACCCACAAGTCTCCTGAAACAGATATGCCAAAGGTCCTAATGGCCTACGCTTGTGGGCAGACTCAACAGCTGCCGGCAGTCCCCGCCCCATGGAGGAGGACCTTTCTGTTGCACCTGCACAACAACTGCACCTCCCCGTGACTTCTCTGTCAACGGGCCACATTTTACAAATTTCTTTTTCCGTAAGAAGAGTTTTTAACTTGAGTTTTTCTTTTGTGTGTAAATTACAAATGCTGATTGCCGATGACGTAGCAAGGCCTGAGAGCAAAGAGCAAACGACACACACTGAAGATCCCATAGGCACAGTGAGGATCTGTATAAAGCACACCCATTTACTCAGCTATATGTAATCCTCACACAAACACACTTAAGGAAAAATGTGGGATCATACTCTTCACACTCTAAAAGCCTGTTTCATTGTGTCCATGGACATCCATAAATGACAGCAAATGTCGCTGTACAGACGGCACTGACTCAGGATATTTATTTTGCCAGGGCATTATTACAGAACACATCATTTGTTTCAGCTCTTTAAGCATGATATTCCAAATTAGAATGCGTATCTAACATCTCTGTTGCACTGTCTAAATTCTTAGAAAGAAAAAGGCAGCATCAAAGCAAAAGCAGTGTTTTTAAAAGGCATTTAATTTAAGTTTCCAAAATTTGCTTTTAGAAAAGAACCCATTGCCACTCAGGGACCTGGAAGATGCAGGAACGTGCTGAACAGGGCTTCCTTCCGTCGAGCGAGCCCGCCCGCTGTCCTGCTGAAGCGCCTGCCACACCCTCCTCTTCGGGTTTCAATGGCAGACTTTTCAGGAGGAGCTGAGCGCTCACAACTGTGCCACCAGGGCTCCTTGCTGTTAGAAAAGTCAAACCACCGTGTAAGAGTTCCCCTAGAATGTAGGCGAGGACTTGCCACTACTGAGCATGTTATGTGTCAAAATTCAGTCGCTCACTGTACTTCCCCGCCCCCCGCCCCCCCCAACTTAGATTACTAATAAGGTAGAACATTATTTCATACACATTAGTTAACATTATTTCATACACATTAGTTAAACAATTAACATTAGTTAATTGTTTCTCATTTTTGGAAATGATGTTTAATATCTTTGCTCATTTATTTCCTTATTGATATATTAGGGGGCTTCACAAAGTTCATGGAAAATGGAATTAAAAGATAACGAAACTTTCCCATGAACTTTCTGAAGGCCTCTTGCGCATCTTATAGACACCCCTTCTCTCCTCTGCCACTCGTTTAGGTTTGCCTTTCAACACCGTGTATGGCATCAAAGGTGTCAAATGACCCTGGGTGGCACAGTGGCTTTTGCTCAACTACGAGCCTGAGTGTCACAGAAGAGAGGCCTGGCTATTTGCTTCCATAAAGATGACAGCCATTGAAAATCCTATGTATGGAGCAATTCTGTGCTACCGGAGGGTCACCACGAGTTAGAATCCACTCGACATCCATGGGTTTGCGTTGTGGGGGCTGGATTTTAACACACAAGGTTCACTGAAGGAGATGAGCTGTAATACATCACTAGGACACAGTGTGATCAAGGCAGTTAGGGGGATTTGTACAAGTGTTAGAGCCAAATGACAGCACTGTTGTGATTAGTCACTACCATTTCAGGCCCAGGGCCAGGAACTAGGCCTTGCATGGTAGATATGATCATCCCATTTTACTAATAAGGAAAATAAAGCCTATATATTATTTTAGAATTTGTTTGAAGACCCACTGATAATGAAGGGAAGAACTGGGGTTTGAACACAGGTGGTATTTCGGTTATGAAATATATAGATTAATCCTGGAAATCTGGGGGAAAGTTAGTTAATATGCGACTGACCTGGGTTTTTAAGTGGCACTGTTAACTGCCGTCAGGCAGCTCCATTCTCGTACGCCAGAACAAGCTGCTGCCTGGTCCTGTGTCAGTCTCGTTAATCCTCCAAAGGCTTCCTGTCACGCTAAGAAAGGTCCAACTTGCTAAGATGGCTGCATCTCATGGTTGTGGCTGCTGTGCTGCCCATGTCGCCAAGGCTCTCCCACCTCCTCGCCCTCCCTCTGCTTCATCAAACAGGCTGTCCTCATGTGATGGATTTCTCGTGACGACATGTCCAAAGTGAGCGAGTCAAGACAGTGCTTTGCTGTGAGCCATGGATTTTACCGGCCCATTTTCAGAAGTGAATTGCCTGGACTCCAACCCTCTGCTGGCGCCTGTTGCAGGGTGGCCCGCGGCGCCTGGAGTATCAGTGGCACAGCAGAATGAAGTCCTTTTGCTCCTCTGTCCTCTTCCTCTCCCCACATTTAGACACACTGGTCCAATTCTCAAACTACTCTTAGCCATCGCTTCCTCTCACTCCCCCGTGCTGTCAGTGCCATGGCCAGTCCTTATTTTCTCTAGCCGCGCAGATTGCAGCTACTTGTCTCAGAAGCCGACAGTCCCCAAAGGCACCGTCCCTCTCTGGAGAGGTCCATCTGGTTAAGGAGGAGATGAGGCTTCTTACAACTTAGTCCCTCTTGTTTCTCCAGCCCCCATCTGCTGCTCCTCTGGGTGGCCCCAAGCTGAACCACCTGTTTCCTCCCATTCCAGCTCCCAATTTCCCCACAAGAAGTAACTGCTGCCTTTTATTGTGTCCAACATTCCAGTGATTTAAAAAAGTATCAAGGAACACAATTATTAAAAAAGTCTATAGATTTATATCCTGCAATTCTTGAACTTATTAATTCTAGATTTTTGTGGATTCCCTCAGATAGCCTATCTATAAGATCATGTCATCTGTGAATAGAGATGGCTTCATTTCTTCCTTTCCCATTTGAAGTCCTTGTGTTTTCTTTTATAGGTTTCTTACGAAATGGAAATCGTATTATACATACTTTTAAAATAGATATATATGTTTGCATGTCTCTATTTACTTCAACTGATTTCCCAGCGATGAACTTATTGCTTCAAACAGAACAAAATTGTAACAGGTACTGTCAAGTCAATTGACTCTCATCGATGCTGTGTGCCAGAAAAGAACTATTTGCATGGGGTTCTGGTGGCTGACTTTTCTGAAACAGTGGGCCAGGCCTTTATTCCACAGCACCTCAGGGTAGACTCCAACTGACAACCTTAGGGTGAGTGTTAGCCACGGGCACTCATTCCAGGGGAATGTGTACTTTGATGGCCTTTGATACATAAAAGCCAAACTTACCTAAGTAGAAGCTAAACCAATACAATGTAAGTACATTTTTAAAATTACTGTATTACTTGCTCAGATGAAGTGAACCCAGAACCCCTGATGTGCCCCCTCTGGTGGAGGGACAGGGTCACTGAAACCCCTGTGACCCTTTGTGCTATCCAGTTTGGCCTTGGTTTGCAAACCAAAGTGCAGTCCTTTGGTTTCAGTGGCTGGTAAACTCACTGTTCCTAGAACATGCCATGATCTTGGTCTTCCCCATGCCATTCCTAAATATTTGGAATGCTTTTCCAAGTTCTCTCTACCTTTTCCAATTCAACTACACTTCCCTTCCTCCTCCTTCCCTTAGCTCTAGCTAGATGTTTCAGAGATAGACAGCACTTCCAGTGATGCTTGGGTGCTATCAGGAATCTTTATAGAACATTGCTGCAACATGGGACATAAATGATCAGGGACACGTCTAATACATTGTAGAGTAAAAGGCCCAAGTGTAGACAATAATACTTAAGAATTCCTGATACTATTTGGAATAAATGAGCATTGACTCGATATGAAATAAAATTACGTAATTACAGTTTTGGAATTTGCTTCCCATTATGGTTTCCAAGATTTTTACCTTTGGCATCATGATTCCATAACAACCATGTTACCTCATAATTAGTTTCATTGTTTTTGTTCAATTTAAAACATCGATATTCCTCAAATGAACATCTAAAATTAATTATTCTATTAATAATTTATTTATAGTGATATTTAAAACTTACCTATTTTCCCCTTCTCTCTCTTTTTCCCCCCTTCTCTCTTAAAAAAAATAACAACACAAAACCTCAAATTCAAAACAATGAGTTCTGAGATGGATAAATATATATAAAAGTTTAACCACACTTGGGTCATAAGCAAGGCAACTGTAAGGTACAAAGAATGATGACCATTAAAACACACAAAAGCTGTTACCAATCGTTTCTCAAACTTAATGTTTAGTTTCTTCAATGCCAGACACAAACAAAAAGCCAACTCACATGTAGAAGTTGTTGAACTGGGAATGTTTTGTGGCGTATATCTTTGCCCCAATTAAAAAATAATAATTACACAAATAACCATGAGTAGAAGGAAGAAGACAATGTCCTGGAATGGACTGTGGTTGATGACTGTACGACCGAGTCGTACGACACGTGGATGAAGTGTCAACACTGCTTTAAAAAGGTCGACTCACGTTCCATCTGCTCAAACATCACGGAGAAGAGGAAGTCTCTGGGTGTCATGTAGTGCTCTCCCTCATGTTCCAGGGAGCAAAACTGCATGAAGCGCTGCTTTCGAAGGGATAGCTTCCCTGCCATCTCATCCGAGTCCACATTTTTCTAAAAGACAGGAAAAAAAATTGACATTTTATATTTTTCCCCCCGTAGTATTCCTAAAGCCAGTTATTTCTACAATCATTTATAAAGAGTGAATTTAGTTGTCATATCAACACAGCTCCACATTTTAAACCATCCATTTAACAAATACTGGCTGTGCGACTGTCCCGTTCCCTTGCAGGCACTGCAGAGGAAGCAGTGCACAGGCTCCTGAGGAACGTACAGTCCCGAGAAGGAAAAATGGGTACAAAGCAGGGCCAGACAGCGAGCAGTGCTGTGAGGAAAAGGGGAGCAGAATAAGAAGTGGTAAAGAACCACGATTTCAGAGAGGACACGCAGGGGAGGCCTTTTTGAAGAGGAGCCATTTAGAGATTAACTGGGGTGAAGTTACAGAGCCGGGGCTCTCTGGGAGAAGAGCATTCTAAGGAACACATAAAGCAAGGACAAAGATATGCACTGGGAACACGCGTGGTGTGCTCCAGCTACAACAGGCAGGCGATGTCCCAGCGTGCGTAAGGGAGGGAGTGGCAGAACCAGGGAGGCAACAGGCCACAGAACGTTGCACTTTTAGAAAGATGTGAGTCAAAAAGTCTTGCTACCACAAATTTACAGACCCCTTTTCTATAATGGCAGCTTCAGCATCTCCAAGGGCCTCAAATTATGTTCTTTTAAAATGCTCTTTGAGTTTTAAACAAAAAGAAGTCTGAAGGGAGGGGCAAGCCCAGGGCTGCTGGGTGCATCAGGTAAGGTTTCGTAATAAAATCGTGTAGGCCAACCCTTAGCACCCTCCAAGAATGAGCAGGTTCTTTGTTTGATACAGGGAAAAGCCAAGTGCTCAGGGCAACCCCCCCAGGCTTGTTCTTCATTTTCTCACCAAAGCAGCTCTCAATTTTCTTAAAACTTCTCCATAAGCCCCTGTGATCATCCAGGTTCCCTTGAGAAAATCTATCAAGATAACTTTTAGAATCCCTCAAAACATTTGTCATGACCTTTTGACCTGACCTCTCTGTCAAACAGATCCCTTAGGAAGCCAGTTTTAACTGGACCTCATTTTTGAAGGCATCCTAATGCTAGGAAGACACAGGTCCCTCTGAGAGAACTTGCCTGCAGACATGCACTGATCACAGAGCCATGTGTTAGTATGTTTTGTTTGGAACACACCTGTGCCCATGAACCCTAAGTAGCAATGTTTTTGGATCTACATTCCCTTGTATCTCAGAACAGTAAGAGAGGAAACAAATGAAAAGGTGAACGGAGAATGGAGACAGGCATCATGCTATCAGTAATATGAATTGCTAACTCAGGCAACAGCACCTAGATCATAATCTGACTGCTGAAAGAGACAACACTGAAATCTTCCTGCAACCTTACTGAGCACTTACTATGTGTTACATACTGTACTACGGGGCTTAACATTGGTTATTTGGTTAATCCTCACAATAACTCTGAATAGAGACGATTGGAGCTATAGAACCTGGATAGTAAATACAGAGACAGGACCCCAAGCAAGGCCTGGCTGACCCTTACCACCACACGACTCTCCTGTTATACACGCAGCTTGGCAAGGTGGACTCGGCCAGCTGAGGAAGACGCTGCAGCTGGCAACGCTGAGACCAGAATTCCTCTCAGCCCTCCATGTGAACTGGGAGAAGACCAGAAAGCACACCAGCTTCCCATCCAGCTGCACCCCACTGCCTCGTTTCACGTCACCATTTCACTTCCTCCCAATGTCGCCTGCTTCCTCCACTCCTTTCTGACACTTCTGGATTTTGTTCTTGGGCAAATGCTGCCCCAGTTCAAATGGCTGACTATTCCAAGGAGTATAAGGGAGTACCACCCAAAAAATGGAATTTTGTTTTCAAAGTTAGATATTTAATTTTTTTTAACAAAACAACCTTATTACCTTCAAAGTACTCTCCATTCCACTTAATACATTTGTCAAACTCATCCACTTGGATGGCTGACAGGACCGCCCTCATTTTTGTCTTTACCTTTTGTATGTCGTCAAATCACTGTCCGTCCATGTCCCTCCTCATTCCCAGAAACAAAAAAGAGTGAGGTCAGGTGAGTAAGGTGTGGGGGGCAAAAGAGGCATGCTGTTGTTTTTTTTTTTTTTGTGGCACACTGAGATGGCTACAGGAGCAAATGCATTGTCATGGTGGCAAAACAAGTCTCCTGTCTGCCATAAATCAGGCATTTTTGTCATGCTATCTTTTCAGAACCTCTAAATCTGTGGGTCGAGACCCCTTTGGGGGTCGAATGACCCTTTCACAGGGATCACCCGATTCATAACAGTAGCAAAATTAGTTATGAAGTAGCAATGAAAATAATTTTATGGTTCAGGGGGTCACCACACCTGTGGAACTGTATTAAAGGGTCGTGGCATCAGGAAGGTTGTGAACCACTGCTCTAAATAGACAGCTTGACTAACAGACTGACCCGATGGAACAAACTCCAAGTGCACTACGAGTGGGCATCTTTGTCCTTTTGGGAAGTTGACGGATGTCCAGAATGAGGTTTGTCAGCAATAGCATTTCACCTTTTTGAAATGAGAAAACCACTCCCACAGTTGAGTTGGCCCTATAGAGCTGTCCCTGTAAGCTGTGTTCAACATCACAAGTTTCTGCAGCACTTTTCCTGAGCAGGAAACCAAATTTCACAGCTTCCTTCTCCATAAATTACACCACTTCCCCCTCCCTGCCATCAAGTTGATTCTAACTCATAGTGACCCTATAGGACAGGGTAGAACTACCCTGTGGCAATAAAGACAGCAACTCTTTATAGGAGGAGAAAGCCTTGTGGTTTCGAACCTCTGATCTTGTGGTTAGCAGCCCATCTTACATAGAACTCTGTGTTAAGCCTGGGTAGACTGGAGAAACAAATTCAGACACTCATATGTGTATAGGAAAGAATTTCATATACAAGAGCAATTGAATATTGAGAATATTGAGAAAACATCCCAGCCCAGTCCAGGTCAAGTCCCTAAGTCCGATATTAGCCCATATGTTCGATACCAATCTCTTGGTCCAAGTCCTCTTCAGACTCACGAATCATATGCAATGACGCTGAATGCAAACTCTAACAAATAACTCAAGAGTCATGTTTCAGAATGAGTCCATACTCTTTTCCTTGTAATCAGGAAAGCCAATTTTGTTAATACTTTGCAAATTTCTTATATGTGAATCAGATATGTATGTGTGTGCAAATACCACATACTTACATATGTATACAAACCATTGCTATGAAGTTGATTTCAACTCATAGCGACCCTATGGGGCAGAACTGCCCCTAACTCCCCCAAGTTCTGAGGCTGTGAATTTTTACAGAAGCAGATGGCCACATTCTTCTTCCCTGGAACAGCTGGTCTGTTCAAACTGCCACGCTTTCAGTGAGCAGACCCGAGTTTACCCTCCATGCACCACATTCTGTGTGTTCCACATATAATGCACAAAGAAAACGCACGAGGGGGGTTGCCTGGTTTTCAAAAAACAGAACAAACTACAACCAAAAGCAAACTGTGCATCACGTGTTATTTGCATTTAAAAAAAGTTTATCTATTCCGTTAGGTAGCACAAATGGTTTGTGCTCCAGTGTTAACCCAGAGGCTGGGGGTTCGAGCCAGCAGACTGTTGTGGGATAACAGGCCTGGTGGTCTTACGCCATACAGACTGCAACCAAGGAAACCGTCCGCTGCAGTTCTACGCTAACACAGAGCAGTGGGCTTGGGGACTCATGTTCGTTCACACACACACTTATAGCAAAGGATTAATATCTATCTGTGACCAGAGCTGGATCATCATTTCATGCAACAAGTTGTTACTGAAGATTTGTTGGAAAACCACACAACCCTTCATTCCCAGGAGGAACTAATATGTGCAGTGGCAGTGGGTTTACATAAAGTCTTGGGGTGGGGTGGGGAGAGGATTTCAGAAAGGATTCTTAGGAAAGGGCAGAGCTCGTTGGCGAAGCCCAAGATATGAGAGAAACTATACATGCAGTCTATTAAAAGAAACAAAAGAAGCTAATCATAGGAATATGCAATATTAGTATACAATTTTTTAATAGATTATATTTACATTAATATGAGGGAGCTTCAAAAAGTTCAGGGAAAAATGGGTTGAGGAGGTAACAGAATCTCCCCACCTTCTGAAGTTCTTTTGTAAATAGTGGATTACATTAAAACTAAAATCTATAGAGAACTTTAATTTCAGCCTTAAAAGCAAACACTGGTTCTCTTACATTTCTTAATAAGAAGTTGATCATGATTGGCTAAAAGAATTCTTTTGTACCAACAACTTAATCCTTTTTGTATAAACAGCTAAATTCTTCTTTCCAAAGGTCAACCACTAAAAGGGGCCAACGACTCCCTGGCCCCTCACCTTTCTGGGCCTCATGACAAGGTGAGCTGTTTCAATGCACTCTCTGGTTTTCACGTGGTTCTCGAGTTTGTTGTGACCTTACCCTTTCCTGGTCTCCACTTATGTCCCACCTCGAATCAAGAAATAAAAACATATACCTCCTCTCATCCTCAGCCAAGACAGGAAAACTCTTCCCAGAGAAAGTTTTCCTTCTGAAAGGTCTCAGCACTGAGAGTCCTATCTGCTTGAGATGTGGTTGCAGCTCACATAAGCATCACATTTCTAAGGATTCTGAGAGCTGAGTTTGTTATTTTAGAAAATGCCATTTTATTAAATTGGTTGGTTGATTAGGTTGTTTGCCATCTCTTGATGTTGTTTAAAGAGCCTCTCCAGTAGACAAGAAAGGGTAGAGAAAAGGTTTTATGAAACCAAAGCTTTGATTTCTGAACTTAAAGCTGCCATGAGGCAGTGGTTCTCAACCTTTAGGTCAAGACCTCTTTGGGTGTCGAATGACCCTTTCACAGGGTTGCCCGATTCATAACAGTAGCAA